TGAACTAGTTCAGGCTCTCACTGCAGAATAGCTGCAGCAGCATGCAGCTCCTTACAGGCTAATTGATTCAGCTTCTTGGCACGGGCACTGAGCTGAATGCAAAGGGCACTTGGCACAGTGGGCTCTGCAGCACAGCGACCTCCAAAAGGGTAGAGCACCACACACAGACCTGCTCGGACTGTGAGCCTCCCTCTGTAGCCACCAAGTGCTTTCTGAGGCCACATGGTTCACCTCCACTTGTGTGCAACAGAGTGAGATCTGCCAGGAGAACCATGGCTGAGCACACTACAGCTGCTTATGGAAATAAGGGTGCAATTCTTTCTCCATCTATCAGGTCAGGTCTATAATTTCTGACCTGACACAGGATGCGTATTTTAACCTCTTGGCTACCATGAGTGATGTTTAAGTTTCAAAGTTTGCTTTGGCTGACCCTCACAGTCAAAGCAATAACTGTGCTCTGCTAATCAAGCTTTTGGAAAGCTTGCCTGTTCTGTACTTCAGTGATTCCTAGCACTTGCCTTTTGTTCCACTGGGCTTCCATGTTTTGATTTTTTTTTTCCTGATATACTCAGCCTACCAGTTCTCTCAAATCAGCCATTTTACAGATTTCTGTCCTTTATAGGTCATCCCATCCATCTGTCTTCCTCTAGTAATTTTCAGACTACAAGACTTCAGTAACATTTTCTAGTACATCATTTCTCCCTGGAGCCTCTCTAGGCTGCTCCATAAGGCTGTCTCACTTATGTCTCACATTAGTGTCCCCAGCTCCATGCCATGCATCAGTGGCCTTGGGCTCATTGCTCTGCATCACTGCCCTTCTACCCCAAACTCATGGATATTGACCCACATTTTAATTAGGATAAAACTGAAACTAAACAAGAAATATATGAAGTCAAAATGTAAATTATGTTCAGTGAGTTGCAGGTGCTATCATTTTATCTTTATGAGCATTTGTTATATAAAGGACTTTACAAAGCATAAACAATTCTGCTTCAAAAATTCTCATGGGCTTTATTAAGTTTTTGACAACAGCTTAATTTTGGACTTAAAGAGAACAGACATCCTGTCATCCAAGACTGCTTTCCCAAGCCAATAATACACTCCGGTTTTGAACGATAACTGAGTGTCATAACAGTGTTTTTCAACACCTCCTTTCCTGTTCACAATAAAATATGAACAACTAAAGTGAGAAATACACAAAAGGATGCTTTCCTTTTTTCCATTCTTTTGTGCTGAATGAAATTAGTAGGGTATTATGAGACAAAAGCATGCCTAAAATTTTTATGATAGTGTCTAGCTAGAGAAAGGAAAAAAGCTGCAAGGTTGTCCTAAAGTGAAAACATCCACAGGAAAAAATAATTAGATTCGTTACCCTGGAAACTCAAGGTAGGTTATATATGAAACCTATGTTTCACTTTTTTTGGGTAGTTAAATTCCTATCAATCCTTATGTATGAACCAAATAGTTCCCAAAGTTTACATAATTTTCACATTGGTGCTGTTTGCTTCAACAAAATGACAAGTGTGTATTCCTTTTATTTGTTTTGTAGGAGGTTTATAAAGCAGTATATTAGTTATTAGGCACTTACGTGGTCTATTCTTGTCCTATAGATGGGGGAGGAAAATTATGTGAAGTGCAGGTCAAGCACTTAGACCTTATGTAAGCCAAAGTTGTGGCAGTTGTCTTAATCTCCTTGCTCAGATATAAAATAGAAATAATTTCTATAGTGGTTTCATTAATAACTCTAGAGTAAAATCCATGGAAGGGAGAAGAAACATCTCTAATATTAAAACAATAATTTATGGTTTTGGATGTTTTCAATATTTAAAATATTTAGCTAACTGAAAGCAAGAACAATCAGAAGCTAAGAAGAATTAGAACATTTAATCAAGTCCTATGCACAATATAATATGAGTTATAAATTTAATGTAACAGTGCTGCAGCTACCTAGCCCATTAGTGTGAGCAGGAGTTCAATCAAATCAACACAAGTCATGGACTGTTGTCTTAGTAAATCTGCAGCCTACCTATCCCGTTTCACAATCTCCATCTTGCACCCAAGTGTACAGACAAGTTAATCAAGAGATCAGAGGGAAAGAGTCCTGTGAGGCTCTCTCTGCTGCAGTGCGAAAGACCATTCTGTCTGCAGAACATGCAGTGCTACACACGAGTGAGAGTAAGGTCAGCTCAGTTACAGTCACCCAAGTAGCATTTTGCAGTCTTGTCAGTCTCTGTAGAGCTAAGCTAACTAATGAGACTGAAAATTAACTACCTAATTTTAATCCGAAGAGGGAGCAGATATTCAAATATTTCTGTGCTGTGACTGCATCAGGTTTGAAATGAAAGACATCTGTGGTGCTAACTCATTATATGCACAAGGTACTGGAAACAATACTGGTCCTACATGATAAAAGCCCACAGAGTTTTCACTGCCTCCTTGGGGGAAGAGGTCAGGAGGAATACAGTAGCAGAGACTACTTTTTAAAGTTTGAGTCATTTTTCTAACACTAATTAGGAAGAAAACTCTTTTATTTCACATCAGCTTCTAGGTCACTTCATTCTGGATAAGTCTGCTTTTAAAGACATAAGACTCTTCAGGGAAAATAAGAAGAAAAATAATGTCATAAAGGGAGTTAATTTGTCAAACATGCAATTCATCTCTTCATCAGCCTTTTGGAGTCAGAAAAGCATTGAAATTAGTGACTTAAAAGTTTAAAAGTTGAAAAGGTGATGTGCAGAAGTTAAGCAAACTAGAATACTTCATTTTTGTCATGTCAGTCACATAACATCTGAAAAACATTGTATCTCATCCCAGCAAAGAATAATTTTGTCCAACTGAAACACCTACTGTAGGTAAACATGACACTTGAAAAGTCAGTCCTGTTATTTTACATTTATTCTAAAAATTTCAGCAACAACTATATGCAAGATTTTACCACCATCCTGTGAATGATAAGGAAAAAAAAAAAATGATGCTTAGCATTGACTTTCTGATGTTGTCCCAGTCTGTAGAGTGGGATTTTGACCAGGATCTTGTGGTCAATATACATCTTAAACATGTGAAAATTGAGAGAGAAAATATAGCTGGCATAATGAAGTTTTTTACAATGCCAAATATTTATGTAAAATTCCCAATTTTCACCTAGTTTTATTCTTCTTTATTTTCTACCTCTGACCTCCTTTGATTTTCTTGCTTTCTAACTTCTTTCTCAAATTTCAGTGTTTGCTCTCTGCTGTGAATAACACATTCTTCTCACTTAGTCTTACATCCTCCTGCCAACTCCAGCCCCCTCCCCAGCCAGCCTATGTTGAAAAAAAGTATCTTGCTCTAATGGTGTTTAGTATCATTAGCCAGGCATCATTCATTACTCAAATTCAACCTTATTTTCTGCTTCAGTGGTGGTAGTTCTCAATTAATTTAGCAGGTTTTAGACAAAATAGATGACACATTAATGTGTCCTTTTTTTTCCTGCCAGAGTAAACGAGCATCAGTCTGAATAGTAATCATAGAGAGAAATGTAATTTAAAAAATAAAAAGCTTTGTTGTAAGAAAGAAAAACACACAAGACAAAACAAATTGAAGCTACCCCATTTTCTTTAAAAATGTGCTGTGGAATTTCACACAGATTGTTTGCTTTTTAAAGAGGGAAAGAAAGAACAATAAATAGCCTTGAAGTCACACACAACAGAGGGTAACATTAATATGAGCATATGACAATCAGATTGGACACTGTGTTAAGATGAAAGGTTCAGGAGATTCTACATCCTACAGACACCAAAAGAAAATATACAAACAAGAAACACATCCAGAGATACTTCCCACTATGTCCTTCCAGCTTTGAATGTGAATGTGTCTGTGTTGTGTTTTTGGAGTCTTAGATGATCTTCCTTAAACAACTTGGCCTTACTGGAGTTTTGAACACACATTTGTTTGACATCTGCAGTGTCTCATGTCAGAGTTGCAACACTTTGCAGTTGACTATTGCTGCAGATTATCTGTGCACAGTGTGGAGTGCTTCCTTATGTTGCTTTGATTCTGCTGTCTGATAATTTCAATTTATACCCCTCTTTCTCAAATAAAAAAAAAATAAAAACTACAATAGTTTCTAATATCTATATTGCTCATGATGTATAGATTTCTATCATATCTAATTTAGTAACTTATTTTCCAGACTGAAGATCCCTGAATATTTCTCCACAGTATGTAATCTCTCTGCATCTTTCATTCACCTTCATCATCTCCCTCCATATCTTTTCCAGTTCCATCATTCCAGGAACATTATGCTTATAGGTCCAAGATGGGCAGTAATTGCAAAGTGATGCACAGTATTTTGACCATAATAACATTTTCTATCCCACTCCTTGCAAATGCTACCTTTTGCTTTGTTAAATATCACCCAGCTACAAATTGATCTTGTTACAGACTAGAAAAATGAAACCGAAAAAATGTCTTTTCTAAGCGCACAGACCTTTCCTAAAACAGCATTTCCACTGATTTCATTTTTGTGTCTGGACACTGAATGTTGTCTGTCATTTTATTGTCTCAGTATCATGAATACACCAGCAGTTCCACAGAGTCTTATACTGCAGTTTATTAGCATTGACACAGTTGGTCACTTTTCTTTTTTTCCAGATTATTTACCCCAAATATGCTAAATATACCAAATACCCCAAATATACCAAATATTGTAGGCCTTGACATTTGAACCCTGCCATATCAAATATCCTTTTCTTTTAATAAAAAGAATCAACAACACTGAAATAAAATACAGAGACTCATCAATATATAAATGAAAATATCTTCATTGCTAAATTGTTTACTTACTCTGGTGCAAATGGACCAATATAAATATATACAAAGTACCAGCCATTGTCAAACAAATTGAACTTCATCAGTTCTATGAACAGCCTGGTTAGGTAAAACACAATTATAGAGATAGATTTATGGCAAAGCATGCTTAAACCATCATTGAAATGAATCCATCCAGAAAAAAAAATTACCTGCTGTAAGGGCTGTCCATCAAAACAGCTCTGCCATCAGTACCTTCAGAGACAACATCCAGGATCCAAAAAAAACTCAGGTGATTTGGCCTTTTTCTCACAAAACATGGAGTGTGAGTCTAAGGTGGTTTCTAAGGAAACCAAGATAGTAATCATAAGAGATTTTGTAAATCAAAATCTGCAGCTGGTATGAAAATTAGGGTTTGGAGCATAACTGAGTGAGATAATGAGTGTATGTATTCCTTCATATCTTGTTGATAGTCATAGTTTGATTTGTCTCTGTTAGTAGAGACTAAGGCTGAGAAAGAGACAGGTATATTAAGTACTTTTTGGGGATGTAAAATATTTTCTGTGGACACTTCATTCTCTTCTCAGGATCTGTTTATTCTCTCTTGTACAGTCAACCATCTTTAAAAGAATCTCTTCTGAGACTTCCCAATCACTTTCTCTGTCTCCAAACCCACAAGGTACGAACTGCTGCAGGAACACCTTGGTTTACAGTCAAGCTCTGAAAAAGGAGAAGAGAACCAAGTTTCAGAAGGAAAACTGGTGAAGGCAAGTATCAGTTTAATGCTCATGGTGCAGAAGCTCCCAAAGGACAGAAAGATTGCTTGTCTGATAGCTTACAAAGGAATTTCAAATAAGACCATTCATTTCTGCTTCTTTAAGATTATGCTTACAAGAAAATTACCTATATAAAGCTAGCAGTGGTTAACAATATGAAATGCTGTGCACAGCCCAGGAAAATTTAACCTTAACAGCAACTTTATAACAAAAAAAGAAAAAGCCTGACAGAATTGCCTTCAAATATTGTGTTTAGGGTCAGATTGAAAATAAGCCAGGAAGTGAGGAAAAAAAATGGGTGCAAGTAAGCTACTAACTATGTGGGGTTTTCCTAAGGTCATTATATGTTTTTCAGTTTATGCCTTTAGCTAGATTAGATCTGTTAGCTCTCTGAGAAGACACAAGAATATTTATTTAATGATCTGTAAGTAAACTGAATTTGTAATATTTACATATGTAGCCATTAAAATAAGATAAACTTCTTTTGAGGAAATAGCCTTTATTACAAAACTTGAGAGCCCTAATCTGGATAACAGACCACTTACAACGTCCTTTGTAAATCCTTTCAACCATAATATTTGAAATATTCTAAAATTTAATTTAAATACCTGGCTTCAATTGTGAAACCTATGTTCATCCAATTTAATTAGCTGGAGAAATAGCAATATTTAGTGTTCAGTTTTTACAGTTCAATCAACAGAAATTGCAGGTTTGTGTTACCTTATCGTTAGAAATCTTTTGCATGTTCCAGTTTTATACATTTTATTACCTCTGTTATGTAGCAGGACCTCCCACTTTTTGATAGAAAAAATGAATATTTTTTATTGAATTTACCTATAAATTAGCATATAGATTATTTTTAAAAGCAACAATTGCATAAGGGGTTTTTCTGTCTCGGGAGAGGGTGACAAGGTCAGAACAAGCTGGTCATTTGTCTTAGTTTCCATTTTATGTAAATAACAAGTGATCTTGGACAAAGTGCTGGAAGGCCTGTAAGTGTAGAGATATCTCTCACTCTTAAGGCAATCCTAAAAAAGTTGTAACTTGAACTGTTGCAGAGATGTAGCTGAAATAAGCTCCTTGCAAGAGAAACAAAATTTCACTGGGATAAGGCTCTTCCTTCTCAAGTGTGCTTCATAGAGTCTGTCAGCAACAGAAGATGCTTTTCTATTAAAAGTAAGTCAACTAAATCACAGCTTGACTTTTCATTTAATTTGCTATTAAACACAATACCAAGTTGCCAGAGCATCCATTTTTTCTCACCAAATGAGATTAAAGAAAACAGTTAAAGGTAAATATGTAGCTTAAATTATGTCTCAATTTAAAGGTTAAATATCTCATTAAAAAATTTCAGCTGATTTGTCTGTGATGATATAAGTTCCTACCTATTTATATCTGATTAAGACAAGGGAATTACCTTGTCCACCCAAACTCTGTATTAGACCCCTCCAAAAATAATTCTGTGGATTTTTCATTAGAGAGATAAATTTTTAAGACTTATATTTCCATTCTTTTTTATTACTGCATTAATTCATTTAGATTTAAAATAATAAAGAAGTCCTTTCAGAGGATCTAGATGATCTATTATAACATTCATAATATAAAAATTCTGAAACGCATTAGAGCAATACTTTCAAAAATAATTCAATATGTATGTTTCAACTCCCTTCTCTTACCTCTAAATGTCCTCTTGTCCTTCTTTCTCTCCGCTTCATAAGGCATTATCCTCTATCTGAGTATTTTCAGCCTTCCTAGAGTCCAAATATAAATTTATTTTAAAGTGATTTAATTTTATACTGATAAAGTTCATTGTTATAAACCATAAGATTTTTTTTTTTCCTTTGGGGGAAGATGAAACACAAGGAAAAGCATTAATATTTGGAGGATTTATGTTTTACCACCCGCTTTTAACTTTTGAAAAATACAGAGGATAAAGAAAGTTTTCAAGTGAGAAATGTGAGACCTCAGAATATCCAAAATTTCCAAATTTCTCCAGTTTCATAATTTTGAAAGATGATTTAAGATCATGTAAATAAAGCAAGTAAGCCCAAGAAGGAGAACTTTAGCAAACAAGTAATCTTATATTATCTGTTACATAAATATTCAGAACAGTAACACGGAAAGAGCAGGTTGTTGTGCCAAACAAAAGTATTCAAGACAGTAGTTAATTTAATATACATACTTCACACACTTTCTTTCACCTTTTATAAAACAAGAAATTCCCATATGAAACAGAGAAAATTAAGCAACTCCAAAATTCTCTTAAAACAAAAAAAAAACCAACAAAAAACAAACCCTCACAGAATATTGTTTTGTGTGCTTTAAGTGGTAACCTGATATTGCAGACTGTACATTGATGATCTTTTCATTCATTCATGCAGAGTACATTTTGCATTTAATCTCTACTGAGGAGATAGAGAAAAAATTATCACTTTTTTTTTGTTAGAGAAACTTAAATGAATTCCACGTTTGTACCATATGATTACCAGTCTCATTTTCTAAAACTGACTCTTCTGCAGAACTTCTGGGTTTTTTTCACATTCTAGAAATGCAGACACATGTCATTATTATTATCATTCAAATTAATTTAGTAAATGTTATTATCATGGTCATTGTCTCCAAATATCAGGAAATGGTAAACAAGTGTAAAAACAAGCACCATTCTCTACTACCAGTAATATGAAACAAAGCAAACAAGAGCTCCTTCAAACATATTTTAGTTCTAACAACCACATTTAAAAAAAATAATAAAACAAGCACCATGTCTTCCTAATAATAGAGTTTCATCATAAAACATCCCTGTAAAAACTATTTAATTTTCCACTACAGGGAGGGAGGATTTGATCTCTTATTAAACATTTTATGGAAAAGTCTAAAAGTGCTTTCAATTATTTATCTGAATTGAAATTTAGGCCTGGGAAACTGCTGGCATTACACACACACACACATAATATTATCAGCCCACTGAGTGCTATTAGGTCATAAAATGCTGCTGTAGCAACATCCCTGTTACAGCTGCTGGTGCTCATGCAACTTTTACTACAGTTATAAAGCCATTTATTACATTTTCTTTATGATGCTAATGCATTGCGGTCTGTTATTTTATTGTTCCCACTGTGATAAAGACTGAAATGTATGATAGTGTGGAAAAAAATACAAACCTAATAACATACCCTGCTGCATTAAAAATCTCTTAGATAAGCTTAAGAGACTCATAAAAATATTAACAGGGGATACCAAAAGGGAAATATTTGCTAGGACATTTTCTTTCCTTTATTTTATTGCTCCCCACAGAAAGTTTTTTAATTGTGCTTTGTCAAAATATACAAAGGATAATATGAATGTGACTTATTTTCTTAATTATAATGCCATCATTGTGGAAGGATATAATTTGCAGTATGCAATGAGGAAATAGGACTAAATAATATCTAAATAATCATTGAAAAGTAGAAAAGTCATTAAAAATAATCAATCCCTTATACACAGAGGTACATAGCAGTAGATAATTACAATTTGTTCAAATTGTCTACATTTACCTATTCGTTTATCATAATTTTCCTTCAAGAAAATGCTGTTTCTTTTGTGGAACAATCAATTCACCTAATTAACTATTAACCTTGTGCTAAAGCTCATTTAGAGACTCACCAACAGTACAATAATTCAAATAAAAATTAATTACTATTCAACTAAGGTTATGGTTTGGATATTTTTCTGGATGTGGATTATAGCTAGTGTTCAACAAGTGGAGGAGGAAGAATTGCTTCAATATTTTGATATCTGAAAGACTGCATAAGGAAGACAATATCTTATAAGAGGATTCTAACAGTAAAGGTTCTTGTATTTAAAAAAATCTATTCCTCTTTTCCTTAACATGATCACAGACCATTCTGAGCCACAATGTGTCCCAGAAATAACACCGTTTCTTCTTAAAATATACAGGTCAAAAAGAGGATTATGACATACATTTTAAAAACTCACTTTCCAACAACTATTCACAGAAAAAAAACATCAGAATAAGATTCTAGTTTTGAAATAAACATTATTCTCATAACCCTAGGGAAATGGAATGGACATTCATTTTTTTCTATTGCATTTTCTAATGTTTATAAACTTTCAATTTTAATCTACTGTGGTGAAACAATAAATGTTATAAAATCTAGCTCTGAAAATATCTGATCTTGCTATCTCATTCTTGACTGTATCGACTGACAAGAATTAGTAATGGCATTTCAGATATATTGAGATAAAACCACATTGTAACCGTCTTATTTCTATAAATATCTGGCTGCATGTCACCTTTTTCAACAAATGCACCCACAGCTGCTCTATGTTGTTACAACTTCATCCTTTTACAATGAGTCCTATCATTAAAAGTGTCAGACATAGACTATGATGACTCACAGAAGAAATAAAGGCAAGAGGAATGTTTTTATAACTGAAGAAAAAAAAATGATGGTGCTAAAGCAAACACATTAAGAATTATCTGGTGT